TATAATTGTCTGAATGGTGTAATTAAATATGAATCATGACACAGAGCACAAAATTAAAAGGATTAAGCGAAACTAATTTCAATATATGATTACACTAGAGCTGAAACTACTAGTCAGTTGTTTTAGCAGATAAGAAAAAATTAAAATTAAAGTAAAAATTAAAGTAAAAATGGTTACATTTTTTTTTCGGCTCAAATGTGATATGTAATATGAATATAACACCTTGGGCCTTGGGAAATTGTGTGGGGCATTTGTCACATTTAGTTTGACAAGATGAATTAATGTATCAAGATAATAAATATACGATTGATTAATAATAAAGATAATTCGTTTGAGAACATATGTTAAAGGTGCAATCCTTTACCTGAGAACAAACTGAAAACATTTGTGGGACATCTTCTGTGGATCTGTAGGTAGTCTAAAGTCTAAAATACCATCTTTATAAATACAACTTGGCACGTAATATTTGAACGTGTCTCAAAGGCAAACAAATGGATGCCTTATGCCATGTAGCTTATTTTGTCTTTTATCAAGAAGTCATACTTAGCAAAAGAAGTTTTTTGTTTACATTTTCACCAACCTTTTTCTTAAAATTGATATAAATATAAAATCTCCCTATTACATTGTACACATGTCAAGGGGTCAAAGGTCTAATTTTATCTCCATTATCAGAGGAATGCAGAAGTCTACCACGCTGTCAGTTCAGTTGTCTGGTTAGAGTCACTCTGATGGCTCAGGGCAGGCTCCAGGTGGATAAAAAACCTTCAGGCAATATGTCTAACCGCATATAGGACATGACATCTTCTATAATTTATTAAAATTCAGGGAACCTATCTAGTCTCACCTAGAAAAGAAAAGTTTGATCAATAAATAAGACATTAATTTAAGCTGTGTTGTGAGGTCATGCTGTGATTTAATTACTAATAAAAAACTAATAGAAATATAGAAAACTAATAATATTGTTTTTAAAGAGGAGCTAATAATCTATGTATTTGGATGCTAAAATTACAATTATTTGTATTTGTCAGCCTGTTCTTCTTATTAGAGCAAAACAACAAGCCAATGGATTTAATTTGATTAATTTGTAATTAATAAGAAAATAATAATAATTTGACCAGCACCACAAAAAAATCTCATATTTAATTGTTTTTCTGTCACTGTAATGCTTTAATACACCTTCATTCAAGAGAGAATATTGTTGTTATTACAGTATGCAGCCACTGTGCTGTCATGTTGACTGGAGCTCCATTCACCTCAGTTCCTCCTCTTTGCCTGTTATTTGCCATTATATTTCTGCTTATAAGTCACCAAATAGTACCAGAAAATGTAGGTTCTTCAGGTTTATGTATATATTATTTCAAAGACCATGTCATACCTTACCTGTCCACTGGTCGCCCCTATTGAGTTTCCTCTCCTTCCTCCTTCCCACTCGCCTGATCACACCACCTGCACTGCTCATGCCCAGTAGCCAATCAGCTTCCTTTTGTTTCCAGAGCAGACGTATCGATGCCCCTCTCCTACCAGTTGTCAGTTACATGTTTATTCACAAAAGACTGTTAACATTGAGAATAAACCACCTTTTCTAACATCTGGTTTGTGTCCTGTGTCTACTTCTGGTCCCACGCGTTGGTTTCCAAACACTGTGTATACTTGGAGTCTTCACACAGCATATCTTAGGAGACCAAAAATAACTAGATAAATTAAAATAAATAATTGGATGTCACTGACTGCAAACTACGACCCTTGGACATCAGCAGACTGTTTTTTTGGGGGGGGGCTTTTTGCCTTTACTCTGGTCTTTATCTAAAGAAACACAAAATCATTTGGACTGAGGTCAGATGACTGACTGTTCCCATCTAGAACTCTGTTTGGCCATCATTGATTGCTTTGTCAGTATGTTGAGGGTGATTGCCACGATCCACGCTCTACAAGTTGGGTGGACTTTGTATAAAGGGGGCTTCCCACAGTGTTCACTATTAAGAATTGTTTCATTTATGATTAAATGTGCTGGAGTACAGCGCCTCAGCTACTGTAATCATTTGATTCTATTTGCAGGACGCAGGGATGTCTCTTCATTTCAAGATGGTTAAGTTTGAGCTAGTCTGTGGGGCTCTATTTCTTTTCACGACAGTGAAAGACATTGATACGCTTGTTGTTTTATTATTTAATCATGAACACGTACATGCTCTATTGCTGACAAAAGGGTGACGATTATAATATGGCGATTCACTAAGGAGAGGTGGTAGTACACAGGGAAGGTGATCATGGTTATAACAATACATATCAACACACCATACCTTTAACCAACAGTTTTCTCTTGATATTTTTCTCTTTTCTTGACCCCTGGTATCATGTTTTCTGTCATACTACCACTACTTATATTACTGTTCATTAACCAATCTGACATATATGCAGTCATCCTTTAATTCATGTGGATAATGTGATGTTTTGTGTTTGTGATGGGACATAATATTATTATTATTATTATAATTCTTTATTTTATTGAAGACCTCACAGACACCCTGGCTCATCCTGGACAGCCAAGAAAACCTCTCCACATGAATGAAAATCAAACTTTGTGCTATGGACCAGAATTCTCTAGAATAAAACGCACCAACAATTTGTTGTGTCTCGAACGCCATTGGCTGCTGTTGCCACGCGGTCCTCATCCTCCTCATCCTCGCCGGTTACATAAGACGGATGGCGCCCTCTCATTGGCTGGGCACGAACGAGGGTGGCTAATCAACTGCGTAGTCAGTCAGAGGAGCAGGCAATACGCAGTACGCCGCACTTTTAAAACAGAGAGACTGGAAACTTCCATGCAAACAGACGAATAACTATCAGCGAGACACACACACCGGGGACCGACTTCATTTGAGCGAAGGAAACTCACAGACACCTTGAAGTAAAGAAAATAAAAAGAGGTGAGGTTTCAGGGGTTTGTTTTGTTTCGTACGCACTTCATTGATTTAGTAGCAGTTATCTGTTTTTCAGTTTTTAAATGGACAGAAATGGCCCAAGATGGTCTGACAGGATTACCTAAGAACAATTTGACAGTTTGGTCAATGAGAGAGGAAAACTATAGATAACGTATGGCGTCCTTTTCTTTTTTTGAACAGGACACATCGGTACATTGTGTGTACGCTACTTGTGACGTATTGAGGAAATGCAGAATTACCCACAATGCCATGTCGAAGAAGTTGTCTAATCCTCTTTGTTTCTCTCCCACATCTCTGCAGACTCTGCAACCATGTCTATGAACATTCAAATCAACAGCCCTAATGTGAAGTACACAGATACACACATTATGGCTCAGTACTCCTACCAGACCGCATCAGTGCAAACAGAGGGTGACAGAGTCACAGTAAGTGGACCTTTCTGAGCACTTCTGCGTGCACACATGTGTCCGTATGCATCTTCTGTACAGTCATTTTTGCTCCTTTGTGGGGAAATAGGTGACCCCGCGTACCACCGAGATGACATTCCGCACTGAGAGGCGTGTGCCGCGGCTTGGTGTGATGCTGGTGGGCTGGGGAGGCAACAATGGGACCACAGTCACAGCAGCTGTATTGGCCAATAAGCTGGGTCTCACCTGGAGAACCAAGACTGGAGTGAAGGTGAGAGGCGTGACACAAACGTGCCTGTGCACATACAGACGGTGAACCAACTGCCAGTGTACATTTATTGCAGTACAGTGTGGAAAAAAACAACTTGCATCGACTTGAGATGGTTAATTCACATAGAAAATCACTTTACTTGTCTACTGTATTGAAATAAATGCAAACCACTGGTTGCTGTTAGGGTAAGGGGGTTAGTGTTAGGGTATATACTGTTTTTAGTTAGCTAAAACATGCAAACACTACAATAATTCTTCCTTTAAAAAAGAGCCCATATGTCCCCCAATACAGTGGTAGACACTCATTATAAGCTGGTTAAGCAGACATGTTCAGTAGAGTGTTAAGGGCTTTACTGACTCTGGTCTCAGGGACTTTCCCTAATATGGGCATACATTTTTTACATCTATGAGCCTTTTGCTGTGATTTCCATTTTGGCCATTTTTTCTCTGGTTCGTAGGATTTTTATACACTTGTAATAAACCTCAAAATCCAGTACAATCATAGTCCTTACAGGGATTTAAATCTGTCTGTCCTCTTCTCTCTCTCACATTCCCACAGAAAGCGAACTACTTCGGCTCCCTCTTTCAGGCGGCTACTGTTTGCCTGGGAACAGGGCCCGAGGGCGAGTTCAACGTGCCCTTTGGTAACCTCCTACCCATGGTGCACCCTAATGATATCGTCTTTGATGGTAAGGATGATTGCAGACACTGGAGTATATGTATGTTCGTATGTGAGAGGGACAGCAGGGAAATCTGACCCCAGGGCAGCTTCAGAGGCCCTCAACTATGTGAAGATGGTCAGAGGTGTGCTCTTATGGTGTCCTCTGATGCAATCTAGTCTGTTACCTCATAAGGGAAGAGCTTTATCAGGAAGCCTGTTTATAGAGCTGCCACAGTCTATCATAAGACGAGAGTGGTAAAATGGAAAATGAGAGATATCGAAGGAATCCAGCACATTTTTAAACTTGGACGGTGTGTCTGTGTTTTTAGGCTGGGACATCTCCTCATTGGCTCTTGGCAGTGCAATGGAGAGAGCCCAGGTTTTTGACTGGTCATTACAAGAGCAACTGCGACCATACATGAGCAGCATGAAACCCAGACCATCCATCTATAACCCAGAATTCATCGCTGCAAACCAAGAGAGTCGTGCGGACAATGTCCTCACTGGGACCATGGCGGAGCAGGTAATGCCTGGCCTACTGACCAGCAGATTTACGGGGACTGAGGTTTATTCTCCGTCCATGTATTCCACTTTAGATTGTTTTGTGTTATACGTCATTTTAAATCTGACTTAAAAAGTAAATGGTCTTCCAGGTGGAGCAGATCAGAGCTGACATAAGGGACTTCCATCAGTCGAGCGGTGTGGACAAAGTCATCGTTCTGTGGACCGCCAATACTGAGCGCTTCTGTGACATCGTACCGGGGGTCCATGACACTGCAAAGAACCTGCTGGCTGCAATCCAGGTGAGAGAGTGAAGAAAGTTTAGAGTATAAGTGTGCAAGATTTGGGGCACTCATGAGCAGCAGCACATTAAGACCTAGTTTTGTGAGCTCTGCATGGAAAGGAATTTTATACATTATGACTCTCAGGCCAAATCCACTACAGCAGAATATTGTGTCAAAGATCAATGGTGTTCTTAAGTTCCCTAAACAACAGTCTTGTGGCTTATGTGAAATGTTAAATTGACAGAGAATGCCAAAGAATCTGAGAGCAAAACCAGAAGCCCTGGACTCACTTGGTGCTGAGTCACCGGAACAAAATCTGAGACCCTATCAGATGTTAAAGCAGGAATGGCTGCTCTAAAGTTGAAGATCTAAAACCTACTAGATCTAAAGGCACAAGTTTTGAGTAGAGATGCAGTATGAAAGGCTTTAACTGTCCTCGAAAGCAACCTAAATTGTGTTGGTGGCCGGTGCTCACGAATCACCCACTCAACTTTAATTTCCTCTTGATGCCGAGGACCAAACAGTAATCCTCCCATTTAGTGATTAATAAAGCACAGAGGATGAAAAGATTAGCTCTCCTAACACTTTACTGTGGATTTGCGGATGAAATGCCGTAATGAGCAGCTATTACTTTTTATATCAGATCAGGGGAAGAAAATTATGGCTTGTCTCTCATGAGTAAGTTTTTATTTTATCTCCTGTCTTCAGCATGCTTGTACTGCTGTCAGCAACGATAATAGTCTATTTCACAGACTTATGATCTTCTGCAAATGGCTCAATTTTTAGATAGGCATGAAGTCGACAATAGAGGTGTGCTACAGAGATGATAGGAAGAGCGTCTCAGGGGAAATGCTGCGTTGTAAGTCAAGCTTTCGTCCTCTGTGTTATATGATGATGCACTCAGTTATTATCTCTTTTTTTTCTTTCCTACATCCTTTAGGCTGGAGAAGAGGTTTCTCCCTCCACTCTGTTTGCAGTGGCCAGTATACTTGAGGGTTGCGCCTACATCAACGGCTCCCCTCAGAACACCTTTGTACCAGGAGCCATAGAGCTGGCCGTGCAGAAAGGGGTGTTCATTGGAGGAGATGACTTCAAATCCGGTCAGACCAAGATCAAGTCAGTGCTGGTGGACTTTCTTGTCAGCGCAGGTATCAAGGTGAGAAAAGGGATGCAAGGATAAAAGGAGAATCAATACTAATATTGATTATACAAGAAAAACTAAGAACACTTAAATGGGGGAGAGGGAGGAATCTGACCTCATCTTCCTGCTTGTCCATTCACCATTCATAATTATTAACAACAAATTTGCCTTTACAGTCTGTACAGCATATAACACGTTCTGTCCTTATGTAAATTGATTTTCCTACCAGATGATATGAAAATAAGATGACAGCTACAGGCTTAAAGTACCGCGTATTTTCTGAACAAAGAGATTTTAATCGAACCTCTCCCCGACAGCCGACCTCCATTGTCAGCTACAATCACCTCGGCAACAACGATGGGAAGAACCTGTCGGCTCCAGAGCAGTTCCGCTCCAAAGAGATCTCCAAGAGCAACGTGGTGGATGACATGGTCCAGTCAAACCCCATATTGTACCAGCCTGGGGAAAAACCTGACCACTGTGTGAGTGACTCAGACACAGAAAGATAAGGAGCTCCATACGGATGTTTACAGAAAACAACTGATCAGACTTATTAACTCTCTCTGTGTGTTATTCCAGGTGGTGATTAAGTATGTCCCCTATGTGGGAGACAGCAAGCGTGCCATGGATGAATACACTTCTGAAATAATGATGGGAGGGACCAATACTATCGCAATGCACAACACCTGTGAGGTGAGTGTTTCTGTAAAACATGTAACTGAAAAAGGCCCATATGGGATATTAGAACAATCTCCAGTGTGAGAGTCCAAACTGCTAATTGCTGTCTAAACACAATGCTCAGAGCTATTCTTCTTTATCTGACTGTAGTGGAACGGGGGCTCAGGAGTGTTAGAGCTTACTCTTAATCCTTCTTAACAAGTCTTGGAGCTAATTTAAATCTCCAAAATCTCCAGGTCATTGACACAGTTATTTCATGTTTCTCTGGCATAGATGCTTTATAACCTGCCAACCACCATTCCTACGCACAAAAAAACTTCTGTTCTCTTTTTGTTTACGCACTTAACCTGTATGTCAAACTACATTCATTTGGATTCAGTAATTACAAAATGTGGTCACACTTTATTTGGATAGTCCGCCTACATACACTATAATTTCTAACATTTTAACAGCTTATTAGTGGAGATTCAACAACCGTTTTGCTCAATTTGGACTGACATGAATGGGCTGACAGCAACAGATCGACCGCACCAATTTCCAATCAGATTGTCCCATTTTCTGCATAAAAAAAACAAACAAACAAGAAAACGGATGCTGCAATCACAAGTGCTACACATAGTGACTTTAAATAGGAAAATGAATTGATTTTGTGCATTTAAGATTTAAAACCAGAGAAGTACACCTTAAGCAGTTGGCACATGAATCCAACGACACACTTAAAACAGCATCAGTGTAGTTGTTATTAACGCCCTTCTCAGTAGAAAGAAAATGTCTGATATGGCGACTGCTAGTGGTGGTATTAAAAAAGACACTGCTTTGGGATGGATATTACTACATGTGCTAGGAATGAATGTTTTAAATATTCCCTTGTCCCTCTATTACACAATTTTACTCACCTCATCTTTCTGTCTTTGCAACAGGACTCTCTTTTAGCCAGTCCAATCATCCTGGACCTGGTGATCCTGACGGAGCTTTGCCAGCGTGTGACCGTCCGGCCCCAGGGGGAGAGGGACTTCCAGTCTTTCCACAGTGTTTTGGCACTGCTCTCCTTCCTCTGCAAGGCCCCTCTAGTCCCATCAGGCACCCCGGTCATTAACGCCTTCTTCCGCCAGAGGGCCTGCATTGAAAACATCATGAGGTATGGACAAGACTGTTGGTTTTCTTTACCTAGAATTTGCATTACAGCACAAGTTGCAAGCCAAAAAAAAGGGGTCGCATTGCCACATTCAAACAGAAGAATTGATACTTGTTAAGACACTGCCATGTTTGATATAGCAGGGTGTGGATAGCGCCAAATAAACGAATAAAGACTGAAAAGAGTCTTGTGTTTATTTAGGTTAAGTTAGCGTCCCCCCGTGCTTGTGTCTCTTTTTCAGAGCGTGCCTCAGTCTTCCTCCTCAGAACCACATGCTGCTGGAGTACAAGCTGGAGAGAGATTTTCTGCGTCCACATATGACCTACACCAGTGGCAATGCAGCTTCTTTGAAAAAAGTTGCCCTTACCAACGGGAACCATAAAGCTCTAACAAATGGCTTCTGTGCACATGTTGATGACGCAGCGCATGCATTATGATTGCAAGTACAACACCATGGCCCAGGATAGATCTGAAACGTTAATATAAGTGTAAATTTACCTTGTATAAACAGACCAAAGGCCATCATTGATCAAACTTTCATTGTGAAATAAAAACTTAAGTAACACTGGTTTGCAGAGTCAACAAGATACATTTAAAAAAAAAAAATAGGTATTCTTCTAGTGTTTGCATATTAAAGAACAGCAATATTTGACTTACATACATGCAGCTTTGTCTGCCCCTAGACTACAATCATTTGAGTCTCCACACTTAATAACATTGTAAAGGCAGGCTATTTTGTTAAAAGATATTTTACAGGTTGTTTTTATTTATTTAGAATGAACCATGTATTGAATATCTTATCGTCAACACAGTCATTTATTTTAATTCAGGGTGCTTATATCTTTATTTAAGTAGCTTTCCATGTGTCATACAAATGTGAAATACAATTGTACGTATGTTTAACAAACAAATGTAATATTGATCTTGCAGCTGTGAGTTTGCATTTGATAAATACTGCATTTGTGGTTTAAATGTACATTAGCTTGATGGATGAGATGCATCTTCTTAACTTACTGTATTTTGTGATAGTGTGTGTCACTGCTTTTTTGTAAACATCTGTGTTTTATGTGAAGCTAGATGGATATAGTTTTGGTAACATGGGCTATCCATATTCAATAAAGATTGAATTAGGTTTTAACGCAATATATCGGAGTCATTCTTTATTTTCTCCTTTTAGTCACCTGCCTACCTAGCCATTATTGCAAACGCATGGTAATGAATAACAAGAACACATAAGACCAGGGTTGAATCAATAGCAGGTTTAAGTCAAATGGGTTTCTCCAACACTATGGCCTGGTATTAAACCTCCGTGTTTATTTGGTTTGGACTTAAACACATCTCCCTTGCACGGAGTAACCAGAACTGTGAAGCTGGCACTAAATGTCTGGTCATTTGTTTACATGTAGGCCTATCTATTCTTTGACAAAATTGCCCAATTGTGATGCCATTGTGTTTAATTCAGTTTAAGACCTTACTTCGTTCCTTCTACACCTCTTCCTCAAAGTAAGGAATCCAAAAAGTATTGATTCGGTATATCGGTACTGGATTTGGGGTGTTTGCAGTAGTGTATTTTCCTTTTTTTGGGTTATGTTTTATGGCTGTCTGGGACGGGGGTATTGTGTGTTGTGCTGTTCTTTGTTTTGCTAAAGTATTAAAAACAATAATAATAATAAAAATTCAAAATGTTGCCATTCCCTAGAACATACATGGAGCCATTGCTGCTGTTAAAATGTGTTGTTGTGTTACTTTATCTTAAAGGAAAGAACAAGGGAGAAAAAGCTGGATTCATTTAATTGAAAAAAACACAACTTTCATCTCAGTTTTGTGCTGATTCCGTATAGGAAAAACTGTAGACAAGAGGCGATGTAGCACTTCATTTTAGCTCAAGGGACCCGCCATATTGTTTTAGGGCGGGGCACGCCCCCCTGTGCGCACTATGACGTCACACAGCGTCCCTAGCAACCAAACCGACAGAGGGGAGTCATGGTGATAAGGTTTCTGTAGACATGTCTGAAGGCTTTTTCATCCGCTGGTAATCAATCATTTTTCCAATAATCTCTGATGCTTTTGTGATGTTTTATTGCGATATCGATCACCAATATAAACCGATATACAACTGCTCCATTTCCTGTCGGCCGACCGGTCTGCCGTTGCGTCACTTCCGCTGCTGTTGCTGCGACACGGTACGTCAGCACCAATGGCGGACAAGGAGAAGCGCCGGTCCGGGGCTGCTCCTCCAGGGATGCCCGAGGGCAAAGCCACCAAGTCGGACAGCGACAGGGAGTTTCTGTCGCAGGCCGGGGTGGGAGAGCTGCTCCGCGGGGCCATCCTGAAGATGGTCGAGGCCAGATCGGACGATCCCATCGGGTTCCTGGCCGACCACTTCTGTCACCTCGCCTCCGTGACCGAGACCGGCACAGCTGGATGCAGCGACGGGGATCAGCTGAACGGCCCGATGAGCGCAGGCGCGCAGGAACAGCAGCATCTCAACCGGGCGCTGTGGCACCTGCGGCTGGCGCATCACTCCCAGAGGTCCGGGCACTGTTAGGACTTCTTCTTAAAGACTGAGCGAATATTAGTCTAATAGAATACCTCGTTTTATCACCCTGGTGTAAAGTAGACATTTAAATAATTCAGATATCCCTCATTTTGCGTGGGTGTCTGGTAAGTTAGACTCCAGACAGACTCTCTTGCTCTGTAGACTAACTGTAATAATATAATTACAGGTTTGATCAGTATGTGATTATGACTAGGCATGGGTGTTTTGGAGTAACTCACAATAAGATTTGACCACAATGATAATGGTGTCACAATACAGGTAGTAATACAGTTTGTTTATAGATAAACAACCCAGTCCCACTTTCTAATAAAGCACCCTTTTATAAAAGGTTTATACATTGTAACTAATGGGTTCATAAATAGTTAATCATTTTTAACAGAACAGTTATAAGCCATTAATAAGAACAACTTTTGGGTTGTAGTTGGTGTTTATCCTCCTTCAGATTTGATCTTATCGATGGCTTATAACTGATCTGAAGCATGTGTAAACAATTCATTAACTATTTCAAAAAACACCTTGTAAACCCTTTATGACGGACAATATATTAGAAAGTTGCAGCAAATCTGGTATCTTAAAACTTGAGTAAATCCTGCGTACATTAAAGGGTCATTTCACGGTATCTAGCCATAGATATTGGTTTTATCGGGCTTAACGAAATTACTGAATCATCTGAAATATATTGAAAGACAAGCTTTTCCTTCTAACTGCTACAGGCGATGATTTGCTTTCTTTCATCCAATTTCTCATCTCAAACCCAGATCTGCCTTCAGCAACAACGTCCGTGTAGCCTACGACCTCCTGAACCTCACTGAGCCCTGCAGACGATCAGCTGAGGTCCCCGAAGGCCCCGACGGCTCCTGTACTGACAGCCTGACAGGAGGAGGAGTGAGAGGAGGCCTCTACACACAGACTCTGCAGTGCCTCTGCAGTGAAGGTGGAGTCCCTGCTTCCACCTCCGCCCCGCTCCTCCGACGCCTCCACTGCCAAGACCACGAGGCCGTCCCTTATGATGTCTTCCGTCATGGCGTGCTCACATGTGCGGTTTTCTCAGACTACATCCGGCAGGCTCAGAGGCTTTACGCTGAGGTGTGCTGCCCGGATGAAGGGCCTGCCTCGCGGGCACTGTGCCTGGCCGTGCTGGGGACCTTGAAGGAAGCCTTGGAGACTTCCCAAGGCTGCGATGTAAACTGCGGTACTAATGCAAACACTAAAGCTTTTTCCTGTCTGGAAGCGAATGTGAAGGCCATACGCTACCTGGAGGCCAGTGCCAAGATCTCGCCATACAAGCTGGCTCAGGCCATAGCTGGAGCACAGACACGAGGCCCGGGCGGCGATATGGACGCGAAGGAGTTTGAGAACGCAGCGGCAGAGCTCTTCATCACTCGGGTGAAAGTTCTGTCCTAGGTCTCTTGTGGGTTTTCTCATAATTAACGAATGCACAGCAATCCAAAGTATATTCCAGAGTAAATCGTTACTTTCTGTCTTACCTTCTCTAACCTCTAACCTACTGTTGCCTGAGGCTACTAAACACCTAAATATTAAGAAATAAAAAGCACTCACAGATACACTAAACTCAGTAATTCCATTGTTTGGAAGGTAACATAATGCTTGAGGTCTGTTATTGAACTCATTAAAGTTGATGAGAAATCAACATCTGCTGTGACTAAGCAAGAAGCTACTTTGCTGATTGAAGAACAATGATTCCCTGTATTCCTTGATAATCTGTATTAATCCTGTCAGTTTCCATCACTGTTTAACCTATGCCATGAAATTCTCCACTAGAAAGTAATACACTTGACTGATCTACATCTAATGCAATCCTGTAATAACTTGTCCCCCTTTGTTTTTATTTTTAACTCTATCACTTTCATGTTTTGTTGAGATGGGATGCTGATTAAACTCTGTCATTTTGGAGGCTATATTTTGTGATGTAGAATTGTATTGCATTATATGTTAAGATAATGTTCTGTTAGCCATTTATTAGAAACAGGAGCCACTCTCGTATGCTGTCCTGATGAAGGCACTGTAGCAGAAAACATACTGTGAAATAAACACTGAATACCAAAAAGATAAGTGCTAATTGATGTTCACTAGGCTACTTTATATACTTCGGAGTAACTTAAACCAATGAAATACATCGTTATTTATTAGTTGATTTATATTTAGTACTGTATTTAAGTACACTACTTATGTAAATGTTACTTTTCTCCCATTTAAAATAATGCAACGACCCCTCTCCACCACTACTTAGGTGCAGCCACTAGGGGGCAGCACCGCTCTGGTGGTTACAGAGTCAGACACAAACAAGAAGAAAGCGGATGTATCCTACACTAACAGCACGGATGCACATCAGCCACATGACACACTGACGGTGGTTGCAGCAACAAGATGTTTTACACACATTCATCAATTAGCATGACTTAACGTCTGGCGCGTTGCCTTCCGGTTGAACTTGTCAAAATGGAGGAGGAGGAGCTGCTTCGCTCTTTAATGTTCCTCATGACTTACATGCTGATGAAGCGCAGGAGAGACATCAACAACGCAAACGTGCAGAGGCGCAATGAGATCCAGAGACGCATCAGACATCGGCAGTACTTCTTCCAGAGACAGAGGAGGATGCTCATGGTGAGTCCCTCCCTCTCTGTCTCATTTATACCCCACTGTCATCAATAGGTTTCAATATTCCTGTCTATTACATAAACATAAACATTATTTATTGTTTTTAATTACTTCCTTTAAATAAAAGTAGAAATACTGGTTGTGTAATAAGTTAAAGTCCTGCATTGAAAATATGCAGGACTTACATATAAATATATAAAAAATATACCTAGAGTGCAAAAAATACTCATGCAGAATGACTCGTTTAAATATTAATTACAATAATGTAAATTATAACATGGATTATAATTATTTATGCATTAATGTGTGCATCACTTCACGGTTGCAGCTGCTAAAAGTGGGGTGTATACTGCTGGGTGTTAATTCACCAAGGGATCAATAGAGTCTTATCTTTCTGCATAATACAACATGGTTTATTTGTTGATTATAGTTTGTATTATTACTTTGAATCTGCAAAATAGCTAAAGTTGTCAAAATAAATGAAGTGGAATTAAAAGTACAGTGGACAGAAAATATTGTATTTACAATCATATAAAACAGAGAACATTCAGAATTGACTACCCTGAATCAATCAACTAATGGATTAATCCACAAATTGTTTCACCCCTATGCATACAATACCATAAAGGCCTTTAGGCTACGTAGATCTTACCAAAAAGGCACAGATTAAATAACAGACGGTGTCTGTGGCTCAGAGCGGGTCGTCCACTAATCAGAAGGTTGGTAGTTCGTTCCCCAGCTCCTCCCGCTGCATGTTGAATTGTCCTTGGTGTGTGAATGTGAAAGAATGGATTAGTTTTTGTTTATGATGAGCGTTTGCCATCAGTGTATGAATGTGT